GGGGCCGGCCTGGCCCAGGTTGCGCGCTGCGGTGCGCGCCCTCTTGGCGCGCGGCTTCCGGGACGCCCGGTCCTCGGGCCCCGACTCCTCGCTCTCCGAGTCGTCGGATTCGGAGGATTCTGTCTCCGAGGACTCGGAATCCGACTCCGTGGAGGACTCGGAGGACGAGGTCTGCCCGGACTCTAGGATCTCGCGGGCGGCGAGGAGCGCCAAGACCTCGCCGAGGTTGCCTTTGGCATACTTGAATTTGCCGCCCTCCCAGGCGTTTTCTTTTTCCTCCTTCATCACCTCCGCCATGTCCTGTGCGGCCAGGAGCGCCACCAGCTCCAGGAGACCCCCTCCTTCTGGGCCATCATTGGCCCAGCCCTTGAGGAGGTTGGGTTTCTTCTCCTTGGATGGGGTCTCCGGGTCAGCCAGGGTGGAAATGCATTCTAGAAGCTTCCCGTCATCTTTGGCATTTCTCAGGACCATGGCGTCCACCTCGCGGCCCGCCTCCTTCACCTTCACGCGGATGCCCGACGTGTCCTTGGTCATCACAGCCAACACCTCGGGCAGGGCCTCCCTTTTGTCCTTCTTCTCGCTCCAGCCCAGCGACTCGATGACAGAGGCGATTTTCAACATCTCCTCCCGGGCCGAGGGGTCGGAAGGGTCAGTGTAGGCCACAATGGCCACGAACTCGGGGTTGATCACTCCATCATTTTCTTGGTCCTCGCTCTCCGAGGCGTCACTCTCCATGGTCTCCTCATCCGGTGTGTCTCGGACGGCCAGGAGTGCCACCAAGTCAGGGACGATGTTCTTGTCTTCCTTGCCCTCGAGGTTGTTGGACTCAGCAGAGGGTGGTGGCTCGTTCTCGGCCTCTTCCGTCTTGGTTTTGTCCTTGACGGTGACCAGGGCCAAGAACTCTCGGGGGGCATCTCCCTCCTGGCGATCGTCCTGCCCACCCCACTTCTTAATGAGTTCCCTGGCGGCCGCTTGCAGGGTGGCGTATAGCGCCTTCTGGTCCTCGTCTTCGTCCTCCTCCAGCTCCTCGATCACGATGCCCAGGCTCTCGTCCGAGGAGTCTTCCGACTCACTCCTCATCAAGGTGGCCGGCCGCCCCCCTCGCCCCCTCTTCTTGCCCTTCTTGGTCAACCTGTTGCTTCTGGCCCTACTTCCACGGCCCCGGCGCCCTCTCCTAGCCTTTCTTCCTATGCCCAGAGGGGATAGGGCGCGCCTCCCGGACTGGCCCGACCCCGGGGGCGCCTGGCTTTCCTGATCCAGAGGGGAAGTTGTGTCCCCGGGAACCTTGGCCACCTGGGCCCGCGGGGGCCTTTCATCCAACAGCAAGCGTTTCATCTGCCTGAGGACGCGGGAATCCTCCACGCGATCCTTACACAGCACCCTCCAGACCCCGTCCTGGCTCGGGATCTCCCGGGGCACAGCCGCCTGCTCCACACTCCCCACGAACTCCACCAGGGCGGCCTTGGCCTTCTCCTTCCTTAGGGTCCGCGTGCTGCGCAGCTTGAAGGCGCCCAGGCCCTGGAAGGCCGGCTGCAGGGTCGCCTCGACGGCAGCCTGCTCCAAGCCCTCGGGGATGCCGGTGACCAGCAAGGCCCGGCGCACGTCCACGCCCAGCAGGCGGCACCAGTCCTCCAGCAGGCTCAGCGCCATGGTGCGGCCGCTCGACGCCGATCAGGGCAGCGGGGAGCCGGCAGGCCGACGAGAGAGCAGCGCACGCCTGATGCCACCCGGAGCGCCACCTGCAGACTGAGAGCGGAGAGGCCGGTGAGGGCGCGAGCAAGGCTGGGGCGCGCGCGCGCCGCCTCTCCCGGGGACCACCCCGGGCTCCCGGGGACCCACGGGGGCTTACGTGTCTGCGCTGCGGTCGGGGGGCCTCTGTGGGGTGACGGTCCGGCTCTGAGCAGAGTCTCCGGGGAGCAGCCGCGCGTTCCCGCTCGGCTTTGTCGCTGCCTCCAGAGCGCTGGGCTGGGCACTTCCAGCAGGTGCGAGGCGAAGGCGGCGCTGCGAGCACCTGGAAGCGTGCGTGGGGCCTGGGAGCCGCTGCTCCGCCGCTGCTCCCGCCGCGACTGTGCGCGCTCCGCCGCGAAAACCTCAGCAGTTCCGCTGCGTCGGGACGGCACCGCCTGCGCCTGCGCGGCTCGGTCCCGCCTTCTCGCCGGCCAGTCCTCGTCTCCATAGCAACACTGCAGGCTGGCGGCGGGGTCGTCGGCTTCTGTGCCGATTGAGTACCTGCTCTTAAAGGGCCGGATAGGAATAAGACGCATTGTGGGGTGCAGGCTCTTTGTGGATACACAGACCTCATTTCTGAGTTGCAGGCTTTATTGTAGGTAGTTTTGTGCCTGACGCATGACTGAGGGGCTGCGCGTTTTCAGAGTCTGTAAATTGCACGGGAGCAGATTGTAGGTCTTCCGGGAACTAGTGGATTCAAACTGCCAACTTTGAGTGGGCAGCGCAATTCCTTTACCACTAGACTACCAAAGCTAATTTCTGGGGTTCACTCAATTATAGGTGTGCAGACCGCACTCCTGGGTTGCAGGCTCATTGAGAGACCTCACTGAGGCTACACAGACCTCTTTTCTGGATTGCAAGCCCATCTTGGGTGCATGGACCTCATACAATGAGACCAAGGCTGATTATCACGTATGCTTCTGTATTTGTAATTACCCTGTATCCCTCTAGGTGGGTGTGTGTATGGTCATCAATGGGATCAGATTTGAATTCTTCAGCAAATCGGCGGGCAGATGTTTGTGAATTTCTTCATATCGGAGTCACACGTGCCTCAGCTCTGCTCACCTAACTCTCTCCCCTCTCTGTTGAAAATCAGGCTTTAATGTCGAGTCCAGGGGTTTAAGTTTCACTTGTCTTGCTTCCTGCCAGGACTCCCAGCACCTGACTGAGCTTCACTCAGCCTCAGTTACCTTCTGCAAAACGGCAGTAACTGCTGTTTCTACTTCAGAGGGGTTTTACTGGGATTAATTAGGAGAGAATGAAGACTCTTAGAAGAAAGGCTAGCTCACAATTGGTGCTTCATAAAAGATGGGTATGAAAATTGTTTATACAAAACGTATTACCGTTGTTGTTGCTGTTGTTAAGTGCTGTCGAGTCTCCTGCGACTCAGCGACCCTATGTACAGCAGCTCTGAACCCTGCCTTGTCCTGAACCAATCTCACTGACTCCAACACACCTACCCCTCCTTGCCCTAGTCACTGTATCAATCCATCTTATACGGGGTCTTCCTCTCCTGTGCTCTCCCTCCACCTTTCCAAGCATGATGTCCTTCTCCAGGGACTGGACGCTCCCAACAACATTCCCAAAGTACATGAGGTGTGAGCTTTATCCTCCTTGTTTCATTTCATTTTATTTTATTTCATTTTATTTTGTGTGTGTGTGTGTGTGTGTGTGTGTGTGTGTGTGTGTACCATCAAATTAGATCTGACTGGTACAGGAGGAGGTTGTTCCTACTTCACTAGCAGAGCATCTGGTGGATTTGAACCACCTATCTCTGTGATTATGTTGTTCCTGGTTTGGCTGGCGCCTTCACAGGCTCGTGGGAAGCTCTCCTTGCCAGAAGGCAGGAGCGTGGTGGTGGGGAGTGCAGGAATCGTGGCAAGCTTTGGAGTGGACTGCTTTTCCGGGAATGTGTTTGACGTGCAGGTTTGCTCTGTCCCTGGAGTGAGGCTAGCCAGCCTGGGCCTAGGGTTTGAACCAGGAGGCGGCCTTAAGCCGAAGGAAGCTTAGTGGAAGGAAGCTGTGCTACCAAGCCGAACGTGGGTGATTGTCATCTCTGGCCCTCAGCCAGGTTCAAATTGTCTTCCTGTGAAACATTCTTCTAGATGGTATAGCACTGGTCTGTGCGTTGCTGTACAGAGGTAACTCATGGTTGCTGTGATGCTGAAGCCTGTGACAGTGATGTGCCAATCGTGGTAATGGGCACCCATGGTGGACAGTGTTGGCTGGAGCTTCCCGACTAAATCAAGCCTGGAAGCAGGAGCGGCATCCACTTCCAAAATGGCTTGCCCCTGGAAACTCTATGTACGAACAGTGCTCAGGCTGTTCGTTCATAGGGTCTCTATGAGTCATCTACGACTCGACGGCATTAAACAACAACAACAACAACAACATCTCTGTGATTGCAGTGCAACTTCTTGCCACTAGGCCACCAGAGCTCCTGTCCTCTTTGTTTCTAAGGAGCATTCCAACTATACTTTTCCAAAATAGATTTGTTCCTCTGGCTTCTTCAATCTCCATCACTCCCACCATAATTCAAAGGCTTCGTTTCCTCTTCCGTCTTCCAACTTCCACATGCGTGTGAGGTTACTGAAAATACCATGGCCTGGGTCAGGTAAACCTTAGTCCTCAAACTGACAGCTTCACTCTTTAACACTTCTAGAGCAGATCTGCCCAGTGCAATACATCCTTTGATGTCTCCACTGCCGCTTCCAAGGAATTTGATTGTGGATCCCAATAAAATGAAACCTTAAAGAACATGCATCTTTTCTCTGTTTACCACATTTCTGCTCAGGGTCTTGTTGTAAGGGTTTTTGTTTACTTCATGTTTTTGTTGCTTTAGTGTTTTTTTTTTCCCCCAAAAAACAATCTCTAATGATTTATTAGAAAAATACATCAGGGAAAGAAAGATTCCTTCCAAGCAGCCAACAGGAAAAGTTGTGGTAATTTTAAGATTTTTTTTCACAATGAACTGGCAATGCTGCCAATCATACCCTCTTGTGTGAAGACTGCACCCCCAGCCAGCGCCTGCATGCAGGCTGGACCAGGTCAGGCGCCCCTGCCGAAGACCTGAGGAAGCTCACTTCATGTACTTGTCCTGCTAATCAGCCAGGATTTTGGCTGAGGATTTGGCATCATAGAAAACCTCGCCTATCTCTTCAACATGTTCTTTCTTTTCTTTTTAAATTTTTTTTTAATTATTAATTTGTGTGTGTGTGTGCCGTCAAATCGGATCTGCCTGGAACGGGAGGAGACTGCCCCTCCTTCTCCAGCAGAGCATCTGGTGGATTCAAACCGCATCAACATGTCCTTTCTTGATGCTGTTTTTCTTTGCTGTTCATCTTAGCAAGCAACTTGACTCGGGTCAGCAGCTGCACCAAACACCTCAAAACGGTCTTGGTACCCATCTCCCCTGGGTGATTCAGTGCTGCTGTTGATTCCCTCTGTCTGGGCTTCGATTTTTTTCTTTAGGGCTGTTGTACATAGGGTCGCTATGAGTCGCAAGCGACTCGACGGCACATAACAACAACAACAACAACAATTTTAATGAAAGTTTACAGAGACTTAGGGTTTCCAGTCATTATTGTTGCACTTTTCTCCCTACCCACCCGCTCCCCCCAATTCGCTCTTCTCCTTGAAAAGAAAGAAAAACTCTTTCATTGTTACGCAATCCCTCCCCCCAAGTCCACTCCACTCTGCAGCCTTCATTCTACAATTCTGTAATGACAAAAATACCCATTCATATATCCCTTTTAAACAGTTCTCTCCCTCATGTTTCAATGTAATATACATCATTCCTCCCCTCCTTTTCTGTCTGCCCTCAACCCTGATGTCAGTCCCGTTTTACAACAGTTGTCCTATGTAATATTTGTCCTTTTGTGACTGAGATAGTTCACTCAGCATAATGTTCTCCAGGGTCATCCATTTTCAATACTATTTCATGAGTTCCTTGTTTTTCAATGATGCATAATATTCCATTGTGTGAATATACCACAGCTTCTTTATCCATTCGTTTGTTGATGGGCGGGCTCGGATTTTAATTGTCTGCTTCACCCCCTGTGGTGTGTACAGCATGGTTCAGATGATCATAACCCAGTCCAGGAGATCCAGAGGGATGCCGTGGGGAGAGATGACATCTCCTGTGCTTCTGATAATAGAGTTGCTTCAGTCGGATGCAAAAATGGCCAAGGGGAGCAATGGAAGATTCCAGAAGCCGGGCCAGGAAGGCAAAACCCTCAATGTCCGGCATGTGGACCTCATCAACAAACAGCAGGCCTGAAACCAGCTCAGCAATGCCCCGGGGGCAACGTACCTGTTCACAACCTTGTTAATCTCCCCTCGAAGTTTGCCGTCATCTTTGACTTCATCTATTGACCCTTCAGGGATGCGATGTCTGGTCCCGCCTGGAGCCTTGCCACAACCAAGTGATGCAAGACCACATCCTGGATCACCCCCTTCTTCTTATGCTCATCCCCTTTTAGCAAAGGAACATACCCTTGAGCTTTAAGGTCAAATTCTGTGGCGTAGGTATCACACCTGCCCTGTCTCTTCACGGCTCCACTGATGGCTTCAATGTAAATCACGTCTCCAGCCTCAATGCGCTCTTTCTGCAAACTTTTTTTCCTTTATTTTTTTTTTCTTTTCTTTTTTTAAAAATAGTTTTAATGAACATTTACAGAGATTTTTAATTTCCATTCATTCATTGCTGCACTTCTTTTCCCGCCCAGCCCTCCCCCCCCCCCCAGTTCGCTCCTCTCTTTCAAAAGTAAAAGAAACACTCCCTCCCTGGTACACAATCCCCCTGCACCCCTCCCACCACCCCAAGTACATTCCACTATGCAACCTTAATTGTGGACTCTTGTGATCAAACTTTTTTAAAAAAAATGCTAGGGTCCAGTTTTAACTGTTTGGTCCCTTCGGCT